AGTTACGATGCCGAACCGAAACGTAATGTTGTCGCTACTGCAAAATGGTAAATAATTGCTTCACACTGATGGAATATTTATCATTTGAAGTCCAAAACTCATCCATCATTCATTTTTGGTCGTTTTCAGTGGATTTCATTAATTGTCAAAAACTGTGAAATGCCTAATCCAGCCTGAACGGTCGTTGACCATTCCCATTTTTGAGAAGAAATGTGCCCATAGGTGACAAGAGAATGATTGAAAATGGTCTGAAATGAAATTTTTTTAGTGGTTCATCGTGTGTACCGTGTGTATTGCTCACTATGCTCAACAATCCGAATGGAAGCGCTCTTGGTCATATTGTTAATTTGCCGAGGTTAGCCATTGTTCGAGAATCGTTTTTCTTTTCATTTTAGCCATTGTGATTATTTCCGACACTAAATGATGTCTTTGGAATCGATGTATTCGTTTGTGTAATTTCAGTTTGAATTCACAAAATCAGAGTGTTGCATCGTCGTCCTCTTCGGTGCCATCGGTTGGAAAGGATTTTTCGTGGACTACAAACACATCCGGCATGCAGCAGTNTCGTCCTCTTCGGTGCCATCGGTTGGAAAGGATTTTTCGTGGACTACAAACACATCCGGCATGCAGCAGTTACAACCAGTAGGCAAAGTTGTGAAACGTGGCTTCTCGGAAGCTGCACAAAACACATCAAAATAAGGAACTTGTCGTTGTGATCATCTGAAGATGAATGTGAAATGTAATGTGCGATTCGGATGTGAATGAATGTTATCTTCTTGAATTATCGTCTTAATCAATGATGATGTGCATTATTAGGTTAATTAAGTTATTTGTTTGAGTTGTTTTGAAGTTGTTTCCTTAATTTATTTTCAATTAATGTCATCTCTTATGTTACCTTTTATGTTTTGTTTTGTTTTAAAAATTTTTTTGTGCATATGAGCTGATTGCAGTTACAATAGATTATTTTATAATTGTTATGTTCAGTTTCATAATTGTTAGGGAATCTTATCGCTTGAGTGATGATGTGTTGAGCTTTAAAACTTATTCCGTTGGAATTTTATCAGTTCAAGCATTTGATTGAGTTGACGGGCGAGGAGGTTGATCGCAAATGGGTTCTTTAAACACTTTCACTTATGTTTTAATGATTTAATGTCT